ATCCTTCCCTTAAAGCAATGTTTAGAGAAAATATATAAAGAGAGGGGATTAAACTTTCTATTCTCATGTTATTTTACTGTATTGCTAATGAAATATTATGAAAGAATTGTACATCATATTACATTTTACAGAACAGTGGGTTTGGAATTCTATGACTTATTTACATCCTGACTTTTATAGTAGGTTGTTTTCACAAAAATTTTTAATTATTAAATAGTACTGCTGTACATTCGTTAAAATACATGCTTAAAATCAAATGTAGTTTCTAATTAACAGCTGTTATCATCACGAGACTACAGAGTCAGTAATGATTTTGAACTTAAAGATGTTAAAAAGCAAATTTTTTAAGGATAAAATATAAAATTTTTGGTAATTAGGAAGGGATCTTTTTTTTTTTTTTTTTAAAGATTTTATTTATTTTATTTTTTCCCCCCAAAGCCCTAGTGGATAGTTGTATGTCGTAGCTGCACATCCTTCTAGTTGCTGTATGCGGGACTCGGCCTCAGGATGAACGGAGAAGTGGTGCCTCGATGCGCACCCGGGATCCGAACCCGGGCCACCAGCATCGCAGCGCGCGCACTTAAGCACCAAGCCACAGGGCCGGCCCGGGATCTTTTTTTTAAAGAAAATTAATACATCTTTTTGTCTTGCTGAAAAGGGTACCATTATTATAATTTTATGTCTGTGTTTAGGCAGTGTTATTCAGATCATAAAATCTTTGAGGGCAAGAACCATGTCATATACAGATTATGCATACAGTAGAAGAAAATATATATATATGATCCATAAATATTTTTGATTAGTAATTTAAACCTCCTTAATTTAGTTGTATAATGAATCATTTTCAGTAGTAGATGCATTCCTAAAAATATTTTAGAGAAAAGTGTATGTATTACATATTGTACTATTTTATCTTAATATATAGTGCCTTCTGAATAACAATGGAAAAAAAATTAAGCCTCCACAATGATAAAATGTGAGAAATAGTGTATCTTTCACAATTATACGTTTAAGTAATAAAATTTCAATTTATAATTTCAACTTAAGTATATGATAACATTAACAATGTTCTTATGTTCCCCACTTCTTTTGTTCATTCTAGATAGGATTAAGATTACCCTTAATTTGGTGATTATTGAATATTTTGTAAGAAGCAGAGGTGGGCTCTAGGATACAGCTGACCAGAGTGCTATGAACAAAGACACAAAGGCAAGGAAGCACAGCATATGTTTGGATAACAGTGCTAGAAAATATTAATTTACTGGAGGGGTAGTATAGTGTAATAAGACTATGATTCAAACAGATGTGAGATTGAATCCCAGCATGGACACCTTGGGCAAAATGTTTAACCACTCTGAGCCTCAACTTCATCACTAAAATTATGTTTCTTACCTATATAACAAGATTTTTTTGGGGTATTTTATATAAAATGCAAAGCTTAGTATATGGCATTTTCTAGCATATACTAAGCCCTGACACTGTTAAGAATACAGAAGTATAAAAAAGGTCTTGTAAATGATCTTAATTGATAAAAGAAAACATTGAAAAAGCAGAATATAAAATAAGACCATACCTAATGTACTGAAATGTGAAACACAGATGTAGTCAGAGTGAGAAAAAATAATAACTGTTTTCACTCTCAGAAAATTCAAGTAAACATCAGATAGAGTTTATTACTGGTACTTAAATACATTGCTCTTGTGGGCCTTCCTGCAGAACTGCTCTTTTCTAAACAGGTTTTCTATAATCAGACTCTTTATCTCACCCATACTTAGTGTTCCTTATATTGATTTTGTTTTTGTTTTTTATCCTTCTGAACTAAAATAGTAAAAAACCTACTCACTGTGTTTGTAGAATCTTACTTTGTAAATCAGTTTACATATTTTCTTTGTTTCTTGCTCAGGCTTATACAAAAAAATGATTTGTTGCAAATACTCATCTTTGCTCTATTACACTTTCATGCTCTTTTTTCACTGAAAAATGTTTAGTGAGAGATAACTGTCAGGTAGTGTCATGAGAATCAGAAAATATTAAATAATGTAGTGAACAGGCCTTTTGATGTGACACAGATTGAAATGTTTTATTTTCCAAATAATTAACTTTTTAATTGTTGGTTCTCTGAAATATTATTGGCAGAAAACTTGCCCTGAAACCTAATTTTTATCAGATAAACTCAGTGACTATTTATTAAATTGCTATTTATAAATATTTTTTAGTAATGTCTAGCCCATGCCTTTAATTCCAGTGTGTTTCTAAAACATCTAAATCATTAACATGATTTTATGTGCTGAAAAAAATAGACCCATAGGTTTCTATTGTCTAGATAATATTTTTCATTTAGCTCTCCTATAACAGAGACCATGTCTTCTAGTTCTTAGCAGAGTGCCTTGCACAAAGACTGACCTAATAAATACTGACTTTTAAATTGTGAGTCTGTTGATTGTTGTATTAATCTGTTCTTGGTCATTAAATATGAATTAAGGGCTTATACCAAAAAGTAATACTTAATATGCATAAAGTATTGCATACTTAATATGCATAAATGATTCTCTAGCAGTGCACTAGAGGATAAATCATTGGAGGACTCCACACCTTTTCCTTAGATCTTTACATAGCTCATTTCTTACCATTCGGTCTCAGGTTAGTTGTTACCTGCTCAGAGAGGCTATTTCTCTAACCAGCGCCATCTCATACTCCTCAAACTCCTGCTCCCCCTTCCAGTCCCAGGTTGCATATCCGTCCCCCTTTGAAGTCTTCCTGATTTTTCTACTCCCCCATCCCCTTGTGGAATGAATTCTTCCTTCCTCTACACTTGGATTCATTAATTCACTCAGTAACATTCACTCACTCAAGAAACAATAGGACCACCTATATTGGTCTTTTCTCTACCATCTTTTTATCTTTGTATCCTTATTATCAAATTATTTATTTACTTGTTTATTTTCTGTCTTTCCTATTAAAATATAAGCTTCCTAAGAGCAGAAACCTTGTCTGTTTTTTGGCTGCTGAAACCCGTGTGCTTAGAATAGTGCCTAGCACATATGTAGGTGCTTAATAATATTAGTTGAAAGAATGAATGGAATGAACAAACAAATAGATATACTTGCTTATTAAGGTTCTAAGTGAAGAATTTTTCTCTATTGGTACCATGTTCACCTGGGTGTATTCCCTTTCTTTCCCTCCTATTGGTTGTTTTATCTGGGAAATAATCTATTTAACCATTGTAGACTTTGAACATGTAAAATTCTAATCTATACCTCAGTAGGAGGTCTGTTGCTAGAATCTTCAGGGATCTGTAGAGAATACCAGAGTTCTCTCTTAGGAATGAGATTATGTAGTTACCCAACTGACCTTGGGATTAGGGTTTTGATTTTTTGTCCAATGCCTCTCCTATCCTCAGTTACAATACACTGCAAGTTTTCGGGCTTAGGCAATAGCTTTGGAACTGCTATTCTTAGTTCCACCCGTTGGGTCAAGGCTTGGCTACAGGTCAGCCTCAAAAAGATGTAAGGCTTTACAGAAGCTGTAGAGCTGTTATTTCTAGCCCCTGAACAAGGTCTTCAGTGGGGTTTGTAACCTGAAGTCTAAGAATAACATTCTAGAGGACCTTTCAGCTAAAAGTGCTAACTGGTAATCAGTTGAAAGTATTAGCCCAAGAAGAAGGATGCTGAAAGATACATGATAAAAGTAAGAAAAATGGAGCAGCAGAAGATATTTTAAGAAATGAGAGGGGGAAAAAAGCAGGGTGAACACAATATTTTGTTAGGCAAAAATGGGTTATGACTAATAAGCATAGAATTAGTGCTAGTGATATACCTGTGTTTTGATGGAGGAAAGCCACATATTCTAGAGGAAAATTATACATGATAAATAACCTGAGTCATCACTTTTAGTGTTTAATTAAAAGTATCCACAAGTCTCTATAAGATCTACCTGGAAATCTTTTTTACCTCTTTGTTATTGTATGGGTAATGCTGCCTTTCCTCAAAAACCCACACACTCAAGATAATAAAAAATTGATATGTTGAGTATATTTAACTACATTTTGTGATCTTTAAAAGATACCTCCATAGTGTGAATAGGATATTTTCCAAAAGTTAGTCTATAAATCAATTGCTGGAACATAATCTGAAGAAACAATTTAAATGATAGTTTGCCAGAGCATCCCATAAAAGCGTGTCTAACTCAGTGTGATTAAAGTGCCAATAATACAAAGCCACATTAAACATAAACAGTCCTTTTTAAATTCAAAATAATAATTACCAGGCACTGAACAAAGTGATTAACATACATACTCTTACTTAATTCTCAAAGCACTGTAAGATGTGTATTGTCTCTCTTTTACAATAGAGGACACCTAAGAAAAAAATATTCAAAAGCTTGCTCAGGTCACACAGTTAACAGTGCAGCCAGGATTTGAATTCAGATCCAACTGACTCAAAGCTCTTACTCCTTACCACTATACTATCCTACCTTTCCTTTTTTTTTTTTTTTTTGTTCTGAGGAAGATTCGCCCTGAGCTAACATCTGTGCCAATCTTCCTCTGTTTTGTATGTGGGTTGCCTGACACAGCATGGCCACCAACGAGTGGTATAGGTCCGTGCCCAGGAACCAAACCCAGGCCACTGAAGCAGAGCGCACCAAACTTAACCACTAGGCCATGGGGCCAGCCCCTATTGTCCTACTTTTATATGTAAGAAATAGTTACATACTTTATATACCGGGCAATATGTTAGATTTTCTATAGAATACACACCATACATTTTAGCAGAACTAAGGATATGTGTTACCTGTAAGATAGGGTCATCATAAGTGCCACAAAAGAGGTATGGATAAACTACCACAGGGGCAAAAAAAGTAGTATTCATATGTGATGGTTTACAAACAATTATTTTGTGTGTTCGGGATTATTTGGATTTGAATTTTCTTCTTAATTATTGATATGGGTTTCTAAAATGTATTTGAGGTATATTTAATTTTTTTTTAATAATCAATAACAGTTCACAGAAGAAAAGCTTGGCCAGGCAGAGAAGACAGAATTGGATGCTCACTTAGAGAACCTCCTTAGCAAAGCTGAATGTACCAAAATATGGACAGAAAAAATAATGAAACAGACTGAAGTGTTATTGCAGCCAAATCCAAGTAAGACACTTTTTACCTTTTGTCTACCTTATTGACTAATATTATTAAAAGGTACTGTTAGTAGGTTTTTTAATGTTAAAAAAAGTTTTAATGGCTATTGAAAAACACAATTTTTTTGTTTGTGACTTTGGAGTCTATGGTTACTTTTTGTATGTGCTTTTGGTGAAGAAGAGGGTGATAAAACTTCTTCGTGTACCCTCTAACAAGTTGACAAATAATATTTCTTAGGCCTTTGTGTAACCGTCGTAGAAACTCAATTTCATGCAATGACTTTGAATTCTAAGTTATGAAAGACTGTGAAGATAATCTTCCTTTTTCATCTAGGGGACAATTGTCCCTAAATAAGGGAAAATTATATAGAAACTTAAATAGTTACCAATTCTTTATGTTTAAGTTTTATATTTCTATGTTAATTATTTTATTTGATTTTCAGACAACTCTGTAAGGTTTTTCAGATCGCCCAACTCAATAACCTTGCAAATAAGGTGCACAATAATTGTTTATTAATTCAAACTGACAAGTTAGCATTTTGTCCAATGTAGCATAGCTCATTAGAATTGGAACTTGAACTAGAACCAGGTGTATTGGCACCCTCTATTTTCACTGTGAGCTTTACATATCAAAATTGAAGGAAAAAGGCAGCAATGCATACTTTCCTTCCCCTTTTCCCCAGTGTTGTTGTGACCATGTTGTAAAATGCCATAAACTTATTTTTAGATACTAACTTAAAGTTCCAAGCTTTAAACTTTGTTTCTGTTACATAAACCTCAAGTACTATGCAAAATATTAGTAATTCTGTGTCATTTTAAGTTGTGGTGACCTTTTATAATAGGCCTTTTATGCTATGAGTGAGATCTGTTGTCTTTGGACACCATGTGGTATTTCTTATTCCTTTAAGGTTACTTAAGTTATATACCATGGCACCTAAAAAAAAGTAGTAGACATTTTTCCTCTTGTTCTTTCCTCTTTCCAGAGTTCCTCACATACATAGTCTGTTATATGACATGTTTTTCTGGGTGGCAAATAAGCTCCTATACAACTGGTAAACAAGGGAGTGGTGTCAGTGTAAAGAAGTTATAATGGCTTATGTAATACAATTATACATTAGTGTTTTAAGTCTGAAGTAGTAACAGAATTGTTCTTGTTTTTTGTATGTGCTCTGGTTATAAAGTTACGTAGATTTTGAGTGGTCAGACCCAATCCTCTTTTCCCCGTAAGACCTGTTATTTTTAGTGTATGATTTTCCAGAACCTGGGGTTTTTCAGAAATATATGTTGCATTATAGCAGAATTGCCTGCATATTTTGTTAAGATTTTATTATGACTGGGGCCAGCCCCGTGGCTTAGTGGTTAAGTGCGCACGCTCCGCTACTGGTGGCCTGGGTTCACATCCCGGGCGCGCACTGACGCACCGCTTCTCTGGCCATGCTGAGGCCGCGTCCCACATACAGCAACTAGAAGGATGTGCAACTATGACATACAACTATCTACTGGGGCTTTGGGGGAAAAAATAGGAGGAGGATTGGCAATGGATGTTAGCTCAGAGCCGGTCTTCCTTGGCAAAAAGAGGAGGATTAGCATGGATGTTAGCTCAGGGCTGATCTTCCTCGCAAAAAAATAAATACATAAAATAAATAAATAAAAAAATAAAATTTAAAAAAAAAAAAGAAAGATTTTATTATGACTTATTGATGCCTTACTGAAATGAAACATTTATTTATTAATATACCAAATGTTTTATTAAACTGAATGAAGTCAACATAGGATTCAACTTTTGACCAGCTAGGTAAAAAAGCAACAAAGCTAAGAATCACTCTCACACTCAGAAAATGAAATTCTGAAATTTAGTTAACATCTTCTAAATGGTTATGTTTCCAACTGACTCATTTTGGTTTTAACTAATTTAAAGGTTTTAAAGTTCCTACTTAAAAACTCACCTAGCGCTACAACAGAGTCTACCACAAAAGCGAATATTACTCCAACAGCCTATTTTATTTATTATAATTAATGCTGTTGTCAGCTCCTGAAGTGTTTCTGGTACTGGTTCAGCTCATTTTTGAAATTTTCAGTGCACTGTGTGAAACTTTCACTTGTGGAGGAATTATGTGAGATGCTTAAAAGGAACCTATTTAACTTAGCTTCTTTTTGGATTGTAATTTTAATTTATATTTAGTCATTGTTTCTGGAGACTTTGACTTTTTTCTCATTTGTCTCTGAAATACCTCACTGTTAGGCAGCAGTGTAAATATGAATTTCCTAAATGTTATGCTAACCAAATGTTTATTCAGATTTTACTGGTCTTTTTTCCTTTCCATTTATGCTACTGTTCTATTATTGTTTTTAACCTTTTGTCTTGTATTTTAAACTTATTTTTAATGGTGAAATCTTTTGAGTGAATACATGGTCTGAGATATCTATATACATATATGCTTTAAACATAGTTAAATAAAATTAAGCCAAGGCCTCACATTGCTGATCTCTGTCAGTAGACTATTCCAAACCTGGATTGTTCTGTTCCTTAAACTCCTGTGCCTATATTTAGACTCTAGGAAAGAGGGAGAGCATGCAAGCAAGCAAAAGCACATTAAAAGTGTCAGAAGTCGGTAACTCTGGTTCTTCTAGGTACCTTATATCTATATTTTCATAGCTGGAAATCCCTGATTTTGAAATTATGAACATATATTCAAAGTTAAAAGCTAGACACTATATGAATGGGGCAAAGACAGCTTCCCTAGATATTAAGTGAATACCAACCTTTTTCTGCAACGTAAAATCCCATAAAATACTCATAAAATAATTTACTTTAAAATATTTTGGTGCCAAATATTTTGTCATATTTCTTAAATATAAATTTCTTAGAGCTATAGAATACTCTAACATATAAATTAAAAATTATATATTAAGGTACATACTTGAAAGCATGTAATATCATATTTATTTTAAAGGATGATAAGTGGCTAGTAGGCTAACAAAACAATCTTAAATAGTTTTGGTTTTTTGAAATTCTTGGTAATTTAAACCTTTCTCCTAGATGCCAGGATAGAAGAATTTGTTTATGAGAAACTGGATAGAAAAGCTCCAACTCGTATAAACAACCCAGAACTTTTGGGACAATATATGATTGATGCAGGGACTGAGTTTGGCCCAGGAACAGCTTATGGTAAGCAAAAGGCAAAAAGGTCTGATATCCTTCTAGATTTTTACTACTGAGAGATGTCATTAACATTTACATAATATTAGTAAAATAAATTTTAACTTCAAATTTTTTATGTTTAAATTTTGGATGAAGTGAGAAATATAGATGACCAATAAATATGTACAGTTCAATTTAGTATATTTAAGCACATATTATTCTGAAAATTCACATTCTTTTTAGTTCTAAAAAGTTAAGTGAATTCTTCACTTGTACTCCCATTGAATCTTGCAACATCTCTGTTGTAATACTTCTTGTGATATATTGCAATTTTTGTTTACATATGTCTCTTGTACTTGATTTTTTTAAGCTTTGTTGAGAGCTTATTTATTTCTGTATTAAAGTACTTGGCACATAGTAAGTGTTTGAACAAATCAGTAGTGCTGTCATTACACAGTATGTCAGTACCAAAAAATCGTTAACCGTAAGTTATCTCTGGATGTTTGGATTACATTTTATTTTTGTTTTGCTTTTATATATCTTCAGATTTTCTTTAATCGTGTTTTACAGTTATGCCAGCTTGGTTAGTTGCTTACAAACTTTTATAATGTATAACTTGGAGCTTCAAAGTTATACATCTTTATTATTCCTCAAATTTTTTCTAAGCATGAGACTATTTCAGATTTCTATAGCTTCTTTTCCTATTGTTCATAGCTAATAATTCTCTTTATTAAGACTTCTGCAAGAATTGGTTATTTGGATATGAAATGGTAGGTATGGTAGGTAAATTAAATGATTTTATACAGATAGTCCTGATTTATGAAATACCTCATAAATTCTGGGGCTAAATGAACTTAGTAATTAGCTTTATGTCAGATGGAAATAACCTAAATAATTTACTGTGTAATGAATGCCATTAATATAAATTAAAAATTATATATTAAGGTACATACTTGAAAGCATGCTAATATCATATTTATTTTAAAAGATGATAAATGGCTATTAGGGGAACAAAACAATCTTAAGTAGTTTTGGTTTTTTGAAATCGTTGTTAATTTTAAACCTTTCTCCTAGATGCCAGGATAGAAGAATTTGTTTATGAGAAACTGGATAGAAAACTTTAAAACTTGTACATTGTGTTCTTCAAAATATAATTCTTTCAGAAGTCTGAAAATGGTTAAAATTTCTATAGGTTTATTTCTAAATTTTAATTATTAATTTTAGAAAAACTTGATACATTAAACAGATTTTTTATTACCTGCTGGTGACAGATACAGTTAGATGCTGAGGTCATAAAGGTATGTGAAGGAGACTCAGCCCTTTTCTTCACCAAGCTGAAGGCCTAGTGGAGCGTGAATATTAGAAGGGCTTCTAAAATTTTTTTCCTTCTTTAATCTGTTTCCACCTCTAGTAATTCCAGTGAGTATACCCTGATCATTGGAATTGGGCTTTGTGAATCTATTTATTAGTAATTGATAATAGTTAACAATTGAGTATTCCAAGCATTGAGCTAAGCAGTATACAATGTGTGTATTATTTCAGTAAATCCTCACTCATAACCTACTTATAATGTAAATTCTATTATCTCCATTTTAAAGACAAGGAAACTGAGTTTTAGAGAGGTTACTAATTCATCCATGATCACACAGTTAGTAATTCAAATGTAGATCTGTATCCAGAAACTGAGCTTTTAACTACTATTTCATATTATTACCTTCCTTACTGATCAGATCTCATCTCATCCTAACGTCAAGGGATTAAGACCCACAGAACTAAAGCTTATTAGAGGTAGAACTGGGAATAGAACCTTGGTCCTGTGGTTCCCTTTCTTTCATTGTTTTCCACTGTACTTGTTCTATTTAAATATTAGGGTTTGTGTGTTGCAAAACATGGATTTTTTTTAACTTAAGATATAAATATATATTATTTATAGATACTTGAGATAAGTGAATAAATGTAGAAACAGAAGACAAATTTTGACTTGATCTACTTATTAAAATATTTTAAGCATTATACTTTTGTAAACATCTCTACACTATTTGACCATAAATAGTGTCCATACACAGTGTAGTGTCCATACTACACTGTGACCATAAATACTTATTAGTACTTATTAGTATATCTGTCCTCTTTTTTCCCATTGGTAGAATTGGTACAATTAACTATGACGTGATAAGAAGTTCATTTTTGTCATTTTCATTTAGATAATTATAATCTTAAATTTACTCTTAAAATAAAACTACCTTAATTACAGTTAATTCTATTTGATTTTTTACTTAAGTAAACAAGTGACAACTAACTTGAGAGCAGATCAAATTGCTGATTTAAGATGATTTTCTGACAGTACCAGACAATGGTAAAAAGAAGCTTTTTTCCTTTGCAGGTAATGCACTTATTAAATGTGGAGAAACACAAAAACGAATTGGAACAGCAGACAGAGAGCTGATTCAAACATCAGCCTTAAATTTTCTCACTCCATTAAGAAACTTTATAGAAGGAGATTACAAAACAATTGCTGTGAGTTGGAAAATATTCCCCTTTTTTAGTAAAATAATTTAGATATGTTACTTACAAGGTTTTTTTGTTTTGTTTTGTTTTTAATTATTTTATTGAGGTCATATTGGCTTATATAACATTGTGTAAGTTTCAGGTGTACATCACTATGTTTCAGTTTCTGTATAGACTGCATTGTCTTCACCACCAATAGTCCAATATACTTACAGTTATAATGAATAATTTGCCCTCTTAATGACTGTGTAGATGTAGCAGATTAGAATATTTAAATAATCTAGCTAGGTACATATTTAACAGAACACAAAACTAAACCAAAATAAAGGAGTATTGATGATATGGACTCTGTTTTTGTGTCCCTATAGTATTATTGAGATGACTTTACATCCATCTTGTTCATTACCAGCACATTTAAAATCTATAGAGAGGTTCCTGGAATGATTATAAAAATATGGTACAAAATATCACCATAGTATAGCCATGTGACTGTTTGAACTGGGAGCCAGAAACCTAATTACTGGAAGCTATATTTCTGGCTATTATACTTCCTGTGTTTTTGCATCCCTAGAAGTCTTTTATCTTCTTTTCATACAGCTGTGTTTTATTGACGAAGTATGAGAGATAAGTATTATATCTTTTTCTCAAACCTAATCTATTAAGTCTATTTTTTTTTAGTTTAATTTGTTTTTTAAGTGATGGAGAGTGGAGATCTCGGTGGATTTTTTCCCTAAGATTTTTGCAAGACTGCTCTTTATTGTAAATACTACTTCAAACTTTAATTTACAGGTTTCTTATTACAAAATATTTTAGAACCTCAATATGTTTACAACGAATTTGTCTCTGGGCAAACAAATATTTGGCCTGAGATAGAGGAAGTGCCACCAAGTTGAAATATGATATAAAAGATATTAGATTGTCAATAGGATGAAATTTGGTATATGAAATCTGAGAATTGGTAAAGCAAACAGTGGATTCCTGTAAATTTACCTGTTACAGAAGCTTGAAGTTCCCATAAGGAATTCTAAGATACCATGTTAATGTTTATTCATTATTCATTCTATGAATTTGAAATTCCATTTTGGAGTAGTAGAGTTGCTTTTGGTGCTATGGCACATTAATAGCAGCCTGCCCAATCCTTGAGGTAGATCACATAGGGCATCAAGGAGCTTTGCCCTAAGCCCATACCTCCTTTACCATAGGCACTTCCTAGATAATCTGTAACAGTTTGAAACAGTTTCTCAACCTGGGCAGTACTGAGATTTTGGGCAGAATAATTCTCTGTTGTGGGAGCTATACTGCATTGTAGGATGTTTACAGCATCCCTGGCTTCTATCCAGTAGATGCCAGTAATATCCATCTCCAAATTGTGACAACCAAGAAGATATTGCTAAATGTTTCCTGGGGGACAAAAAGGCAAAATAATAAAACTAATCTTTCTTTGAGCCAGCCCTGGTGGCCTAATGGTTAAAGTTCAGGGCTCTCACCACTTTGGCAGCCCGGGTTCGTTTCCCTGTCGCAGAACCACACCACCTGTCTGTCAGTTGCCATGCTGTGGCAGTGGCTCACACAGAAGAACTAGAAGGACTTACAACTCGGATATACAGCTATGCACTGGAGCTTTGGGGAGGGGAAAAAAAAAAGATTGGCAACAGATGTTAGCTCAGGGTCAATCTCCCTGCAAAAAAAAAAAAAAAAGAAGAACTATCAGTTTAAAAAATAATAATAATAATATTTGTTTGTTTCTACCATCACTTGCTATTTTTCGCAGATTTCTCAGACATCTAGAATGTCTTGATCATTTTAGAATTGAAAACAGTTACAAAAGGGGGTCAGATACCTGAATGGTCACTTTATAGCCAATTTTGTAATCATAGAACTTTGTTTTTCAGATGATGCATATATTCAATGGAGAATAATACTTTAAATGTGTATGCTTTTACTCGATTTTAGCATCATTAGCCTTTATTTTTTTCTTTCCTGTGTTTATAGAAAGAAAGGAAACTATTACAAAATAAGAGACTGGACTTGGATGCTGCAAAAACCAGACTAAAAAAGGCAAAAGCTGCAGAAACTAGAGCTTCAGTAAGTAGTCTTTTTTAATAGAAAAACATTTTAGGTTAATAATTTTTTGTAGAATATTTTATTCATATACCATGCAAGCTACAGTCTATTATTAAGACTAGAATAGGACTTTGGGGTACTGTTTTTGTGTTTTTTACAACAAACTTACCAGAACTTAATACATCTAAATCAGTGCAAAGTAATCATATCAAGAGGCAATATTATTTTACTAATACACTTGTTGCTAAAAAAACAAAAATTATGAGAGCTCCTAAAGCTATGTCATGTTCTTCAGATATCCTCAGTGGTGATGGCAAATGTGTCTTTTGGAGATTTACTATATTTGAAGTAGAAAAACAGATAGTAATTAAGAAGAGAATGAATCTAGTTTGAAGATGCTTGTGTGTGGCTTAAAAATTAGATGTGACTCCCTTTCCACATGTGACTCAAACTGAAAGTTATCACCCAGAATAGTTCCAAAATCATTCAAACAATGACAGCGTGGACTTCCCAGTGGCTATTTTGAAAAAGAGGAAACCCATTTGAATAAATAAGTTCTGGTATATTTTTCATATAATCAACCTCACAGTAGTCTTTTAAAACTGAGTGGTTATATATTAACTTTCTTAAAAGGTTTTATTTATAATATTGTTTAATCTAATATTTATACTGTTTATATCACCATTCCAAAGTTTGAAGAGATTAATCACATTTGAATTGAAACACCTTTAAGATAGTACAATATGAACAAATATGAATTTATTAGAGGAAGCTAGCAAGTTAATTCTTAATTTGAGCTAGGGATATGTTTTCTTAAGAGGCATAATATTCACTGCCTTCTATTCTCAACTCACTCCCACTACCACTATCAAGAATCATTGTCTTAATGAGCATATTACCACAGTGCTGGTAGAAGTCTATTGTGGCTCTCTTGTTTTGGGAAAGAAAAGGTTGAGACTTGGTTTAGAGTGAAATTTAAAACTAGTAACTTGGTGTTGGACAGTGATGTCTTATGAGATTACCCCAACACCTTAGATGAGCAAAATAAATTATTTTCTTCTAGATGGTTCCCCTTTTGGAGATTCTGTATTAGCTACTGCTGAAGAAGAACTATCTTTGACAAAACATTAATTCCAAATTCACTGGCATTTTCACCTCAGAATTTATCATTACATCATCATCAAAAACAGCCTGACTTGTCTAAACAGGCTTTTTGCAGAATCAGAACTTGAAAATGAACACTGTAGATGGCAAGAGACTCTAAATTAGGATATTAGTTTCTAGTTGCTAATAATAAATTTATATAGTAAAATATAAATTGTTTTTTAAGATACTAATTGCTTAATCAGGAAAAAATGTTATTAAGATAAATAAGGATCATTTGGAAATAAAAGTTTGAACTGGAACAAAATCTCTATTCAAAATGCCTACATGTGCTCAGCGATGATTGTGGAAGAAGAATACTATTGTCAAGTGTCAGTACAAGACTTTCTTTAACAAGCACTATTACGGGATAATGATAGTCTACTTTTTTACCTGGAAAAGTGCCAGAAAGCTCATAAATTTAACAGCATACAAGGCCCTTTGATTATTCTAAATTATTTTACCACTGCTATTAAAATGTAGAAGAACTACGGAACACTCTGCTTCAGCAGCCTAGGTTCAGTTCCCGGGCACGGACCTACACCACTCATCAATGGCCATGCTGTGGTGGTGACCCACATACAAAATAAAGCAAGATTAGGGGCCGGCCCGGTGGCGCAAGCGGTTAAGTGTGCGCGCTCCGCTGCGGCGGCCCGGGGTTCGCTGGTTCGGATCCCGGGCGCGCACCGACGCACTGCTTGGCAAGCCATGCTGTGGCGGCGTCCCATATAAAGTGGAGGAAGATGGGCACAGATGTTAGCCCAGGGCCAGTCTTCCTCAGCAAAAAGAGGAGGATTGGCGGATGTTAGCACAGGGCTGATCTCCTCACAAAAAAAAAAAAAAAAAAAAAAAGCAAGATTGGCACAGATGTTAGCTGAGGGCAAATCTTCCTCAGCAAAAAAAAAAAAAAGAGGAAGATTGGCAATGGATGTTAGCTCAGGGCAAATCTTCCTCAGCAAAAAAAAAATTGTATAAGAACTAAATATAATAGTAGACAAATTTTGAGAGATGTTTCCTTTTGCTATATCCAGAAAAGATCTTGACAATTTTTTTTGTGCCCCATATTATTAAGGACAAAATTTTTTTCTGTGAGAATTCATGTTGAAAATAAAAATGAAAGCTTATACAAATGACTTTATTCAACAATTTCATTTATACACAACTTTTCTAAAATTTATATATTGCATAACACAAAATTTAACCATAGCCAAATATTTAAAATATTAATCTAAACAAAAATTCACATTTCCTGATTTTAGTTGTATTCTTTAACCCTAGATAACTAACTCATTTTAGTTCAAACTTGTAGCAGTAAGTCTGAAATACTTCAGAAAGGAAAAGTCCTCTTAGTTTGTTACTACGTAGAGCCTTGAGGCATGCCTATGTTTTGTGATCCTTTTTTTTTTTCCTCCATTTATCTTTTGTTTACTTGAAAAATAGAAACTCCTATGAGTTTGGGTTTGCTTTTTTTTCTTCTTTGACAATTTCCTGGTTCCTAGTTGGGAGCTGAAGAGGTTACTCTAACCTCAAGAGTTTCTTTGGTTTCACTTTATAAATTTCCATGGATTAATTGTTTTGTGACTAGTTATTCTTCTGCAAGTAAGGTTGGGACCTGTACATATCAGCACTTTTTTTTTTAATTCATTTACTAGTTTCTTGTGACCTCTTTTTAAATTCTGTATTTATTGAATGCGAATTTTTTGCAAGGAGTTCATAGATAAGTAATGCAAAATCTCTGCTGCCCTCAGTTCACAATCTAGTACAGCAAATTGAACTTTTTGATGATTTAGGCGTATCAGTAAAAAATTTATGCCTGTATCCAATATTGCTACTTTACTAACTTGTATTTTATTAGTTAGCATGGTGAAGAATGGTAAAGAAACCTCAAAGGCATTTCTCAAAAATATACCAATTGAGCAGAAAAGAGAGAACCTACTTTAATGTTTCACAATGAACAAAAATACAGTTTTTAAAATAATATAGAACTTATGTCCAAGAAGCAAAGACAAATAGAACTTCTGCATTTAAATTATAAGGCACTGATGTTTATTAACCTTAGTCTTATATAAACTTAAAAAAAAAACGTTTTAGAGTTTTGTTAATGGGAAGAAGAAAATCTGGTTTCAAAGCTCTAATATTTGGAGATTTCGACCTCTGTTACTTTTAGGTATCCAAATATGATGGAAAGTACATCTTCAAGTAACATAGCGAATATGTCCCTCTGTCCACTTAAAATAAACTGTGGCAGTTACCACAGTTCTAATTGCTTCTAATTTAAAGCAAATGCTTTAAATGCTTCTAATTTAAAATCAAGCATCAACCATGTTTTTTGTCTTTGAAAATTTGAATCTTTTGGAAAAATTGAATAGGCACCAGTATATGAAATTCTGTAGAACGATATAATTGGTTTTTTTTTTAAGTAGAAAACCATGTTATCAGCTCTTTTAATACTTGTTTGTGTGTTCTTTATTGTGCAGAAGTGAATTGTTTCACTGTGTTCATTGGTATAATGTGTTCTTTGTCTCTTACCTGTGCACTTAAGCAACTAAACTCAGCTCGCCTTGAAGGAGATAACATTATGGTAAATTTCTCTTACATGCTCAACTTCCTGCATGTAAAATGGCTGAAGGTTTGTTGGCCTACTGTGTTTTCTACATCTTAAATAAAGTGCCTTCTCTTGCTATTATCTTCATGTAAAAGTCTAAAATAGTTGAAGCCATGCATTCATTATGTCTAACAAAAAATATAGGGAATACCTGCTGAAGTAATATTGGAACCTGAAGAAAGAAATTGTGTTCTAATTGCCAAATATATTAGCCATGCCAAATTCAGACTTTAGAATCTGAATTTATACATAAATACGTAGTGCCTTTTATACTCAATAAAAGATGTTAATTCAGGTGGCACTTAATTTTCTTTGCCAAAAGTGAAAATATTAACAAAATTTACCTAACTTAGAGACAAGTATAAGGTATTGAAATTGATTTTGCTTCTCTGTACCTTCAACATTTACCTTATTTTCACCCGAATTCAACATAGAATTAGTTTCTTCTGCAGTTCCAGGCCAAGACAAACCCCAGTATTTAGGTATTTGTGCAGTGGTGAGGCCCATTCCCCATCCAATGCTAATTCACTTAAGAAAGTTGTAGAATAGTGATAGCCTTGGGCAAAAACTGGGAATGAGAATTGTTCTATAGTATCCAATGTATATATTGAGCTCAAATTGAGGAAATTTTTGCGATGTTAGGAATTTTTTATTTTTTTAACAAAATAGAAATTCACAAAATCTGAACATAGCCCCAAAATTCATAAATGTTATCCAATAAAGGTTTATTGAGATAGTGTTTGGTATTATACACATAGATACATTACTTTCATAGAAGTGGCATAGAATCTGCATTATAGTTAATAATGAGTTCGCGATTAATTGACTGCTTTTATTCCATTGGCTTTGAACTAAAAGCAGAGGGAAAAAATCCATGTAATAGGAAAGATTATTGTATAGAATATATAAAGTGCATTTTTGTTTTTTTACACTACTGCAATTATTGAAGCCCTGGCTAAATTAGGGCCTTCCTTAGATAGCAAGAGAATGCATTCATTTATTTCCATTGTCCTATCTGTAGGTAAATGAAAAGTGTGAGACTATTTCAGTCATTGGTAATTTAGTATATAAATCATAGGTTTTCTTTTATCTTAGGTAAAAATATCCTTCTAAACAATTACTTTGTTTCATTTATTAGGCATTTGTTTTACTACTGATATCATCTACCTGTAGTAAGATGTATTTAACGCTGGTAATTTTAAAGTCATTATATCTCAAGTTTATTGTGCCCCCTGTAATGGCTATATCAACATTCAGTGTCCGTTTATCCTTGCTTTATTTTAATTTCCTAAAATTCTAGAATTTTAGACCTAAATGAAAAATTAGAAATCACTTATTCTAAACCTTTGATTTTACAGATGAGAAAACTAGAACTAAGATGAGTTAAATATCCCCAATTTGGGAAAACTGTTATTATTATTAATGTATATAATTAGTATAAGATTCAAAACCTGATAGTATTGATATATATGAAGGCATACTTTCACAGTATATTAAGCTGTGCTAATTTAGTTACTAGTGTGTTTAATCTGTTAATGTGATTCTGGAAAAGGAGAGTATTCCCTTTAAATTAAAATATTTACATTTTTCTATACTAAGTTGTAGAAAATGTTAAATTCCGACTTTCTTTCATGCTCTATATTTTTCTCTAATTTTTAATGCTGGCTAGATTTGGGCAGAGGAAGTGACAAAAGTAAGTAAATTATTAAACTACAGAATTATGAAACAGGAATATAATTGTCATTCATTCAGTAAATATTTACTGGACAACAGCTGTGGGGCCAGTCACAGTCTTTGTTACTGAATCATGTAAAATCTGAAAATTATGGAAAGCTCAGTTCTGTTTGGCTAGTAGGAGCTCCACAGAGCACTAGAACAATGCTGCAGAGATGTGGTTTGCACACACTCTGATAAATACTAGATACGTGTTATATTAAGTGGTAATCTTTACAATGCCTTGCCAGAAGACAGTTTAAATCTTTGGTTTATTCATATGACAATTATGTAAAATATAATTAACACCATGTCCTATATCTTTAGAGAATTGGATATATCATATGTCACACAAATCGATTTTCTAAGTAACTGAAGCTTGTTCTCTCCAGCATCAAAGCTAATTTTTGTCAGTCACTTTAGTTGAAAATTTTTGTTAAAAAGTACTTTACTGCTGCATTAAATTCAGGATAGCAAATATTTCATTTTACTACAGTAAGGGTTGTTATTATGAATATCTATTATTGTACTGTGTAACAGTTGGATCATTGTTTGTTTTTGAAGTATGTCATCTCCTCCCTCATTGTCAGACTGTCACTTTTAGAGGCTGTCCATGGGACTGCTACTAGCAGTCCCTCTTCCTCTATTACCATTTCTAATCTTCTCTGGGCTGGGAAACCAAGTAACTAAGCAAGAATTCAAGGAATAAAATTATGACTTTAATGCAGATTTGTTTCAAATGCTATTTGAGGTCTTCAGAAGCATTTTTCATTTACTCCTCATGTTCAGGCCTACCAAAATCTGACCGGCAGATGAAGACAATGCTGGTGATTGAGGGCAGGTGGTAATTGTTAATAGTTTTATAAACATTTTTTTATTTCCTGACTTCATAAAATTGCTGACTATATAGTCTTTTTTCATGCATGGGTTACAGAGTTATTGATTCTTTGACGTGGAAATCCGAAGTGAAATTCTTGACTTATGCTCTCATCTCCCTTTGTGGAATCCATTCATCAGCTTAGCTGTGGTTCCACCCTGGCCTCTGATTCTTCCTGAACCTCTAGTATGAAAAGGGGGCAGAGTAACACAGAAGAGAATACAAGTTGAACAAGAAAACCATAGTTTCTTCCCTTTGGTTGGCATACAAGTACACAAAAAATTTCTGATTTGGTTCTGCAGTCTCTACAAGTTTGGGAAATATTTGATGTAATAAATGGAAAGAAACTCATGAAATAAATATTTACATTATGTATATATGAAAAGAACTTAAAGAAATATATCAAAATGGATTTGGGCAGGTTTTTTCTTCTATACTTGTCACTTCTATCATTTTTAGAATTTAAAAATGTATAGTGTTAAAACTTTATAGCCCTGGAATATTTTAAGATTTAAGCTTATAGAAAAAGTCGGTAACACTGACCAAGATTATCATAGCAAATGCCTCAGAAGCATGACCAAAATTTCTAGTTTATAGTTATACAGTCCTGATATCACAGAGCAACAAACTCTTGCCCTTTTTCCAAGTTACATCCTAAAAGAACTCTTCTTCCTTCCCTAACCCAAGTTATGCTGTCATAGACTCTAGATCAATTAGCCCAGTAACAGTAATTCTAAGCAATAGAAGGTCTTTTCCCTAGAACTCTACATCTTAATTGTAAAATTGTCAGGAAACGAGATCTTCTGGAGGACAGAATAAAAACCCTTTAAATTTATTGTCTTTCTTTAAACCTTTTTATCTATCTTTCTAATATGGATCATTTTCTTCCTAAGTAAATCGATTATGCTAAACCTCATTTCGTAACCTCAGCCTCTCAGATTAATTATTACGATCCGTTTTCCATGTCAGAAGTATAGATGGTTTGGGACATTTGACTCTTTGCAACCATCCCAGACATACGCTGAAACTTGTTCAAGAAATGAGATTTGTTTCCTTCCTGTCGTTTAGCTTTTCTAAATATAAAGTCTAGATTGTACAGAAGAATGACTTACTAGGCTTTGTAACATGGTGCCTTTCTTCACAATTAAATAATAAAATTTTGCTCAAACATAGAAGACTGATCCCTTGTCCTTAATGAGATCATTTTACATTTTTTCATTCAGTGTTCTTACCTTGAAAACATTTCCACTTTAGACTCAAGCTTCCTGGTCACTTTTAATCTGTTACCTAGCTTACTTGCTTACACCTTGTACAGACATATTGCCATTTAGTAGACTTTTCTATCATTTCTACTAAAGGCTATTAAATCAAATTGTACTTTTATAATGAAAGACATACGTGGAACTAGTCTCGTTTACTTCTGAGGTTCATTTTTGGGGGGCTTGCTGTGTTTACTTCTATTAATAAAACATTTTTTTATTCAACCAGGCAGAATAGTAAATAGTGCAAATGTAGCACTGAAGTGGTGGGTTTTCCTTACCACTTTCCTTAGGAAGAACATTGATTCTTTTCTTCTTCCGGGACATTTTTCTGCTTCATACTAGGTTCCAGATGAAGCTTAATTCAGCCCTGTTATCAAAGCACCTTCTCTTCTGGTTTCAGTCAAGTAAATTTAATTTTAACTCTTGACTTCTTGAGTAATTCAAGCTTGTTTCCATAAATCCAATCCCGTGGTCAATTCTTCGTCCCCTCTGTGAGGTCTCTTGCCCATGGAATGAGAATGATTATAGCAACTGATTATCTATTTTGCTGCTACTTCCTTGTTGACTGGTTCACTGGTTTTAACTGTTGCCACCAAAGTGTGAAAGAGAGGGAGACGGGGTATGAAAGGAAAAAGTTCAGACCTTGTTTTTATGTTTACTACAGTCTTGGAAATATTGTAATTATTTGGATGAGGGAAAAAGCTATTTATCCTAGAGAGGTAGTAGAAATATCATTATAATGAAGTTATCACCAATGATGATTCCCAATGGGGGATAAACTATTTTGAGTGAAATTTTATTTTCTCCTCCTCACTTACGACCAGCCAACTCTGGCTAGAAGTTTGAGAAGAGTTTGAGAAGATATTTTTGCCAGTATTTACTATTTTTAGATCATGTTAATATTTTAGTGAACTATTTTGTCCCAACACTAAACCTGTATCAGATGGTTGAAGCCAGTAGTGGTATGCTATTATACACACCTCTTCCCAACTCCAAGGTCAATTACTTCACCTGGGTAGCCTGAAATCAGCTGTACTGGGAGTAATTATACCATTAAAATCAGCACATTAGAGCTTCTTTTCCCTGGAGAGCCAGTTTACCAGCACACTACTGATTGCAGGTCACCCATAACATGCAGAAAAATCCTAGCATATCTTAGAGGTAACATTTCTACTTAAGGCACATTTTGTGCAAAGTTTGGAAAGAAAACTAGAAAGAAAGACATTTATGTGAGACAGAGAATCCTTGTAATGAACCTAACAACTATGTTTCTAGAAACAACTATATGTTTGGTAACTAAACACAAGAGTTTAAAATCCTGTGGCTTCACAAATCTGAAGTTTTTTCATTTGAGATTGAAGGCTATCTTTAACTTCAAAGTAAAGTAACTATAGTAATAATGGAGAATTTTTTGAATGTTATTTTATACATATAAACTAGTAATCTTAAGATTTTGTAAAATGTTAAAATTTAGCAAAATTGATACTATAAAATATATGAAAATATGTTGACTGTCCCATAGTAGATTTTCTAGATTTTTCTGTGTATGTCTTTAAGCTTTGGCATTAATAGATTCTTTTGAGTCAAGTACTGGTAATGAATCAGTTCTCTGTAGCTTGAGTAATATAGAAAAGCCAAGGTCTAGAAACCAGGGACCAGTTTAGATACAAAGCAGAGAAAGGGAATTGCCAGATTATCATTTGGGGTTTGGGGGATTTTTTAACTGAAAGAATGTACATAAAATGGATTAAGTCTTCTAATGAGATTCTAAAATCTATGTTCCAATTTAAGTCTGAACAGGAATTAAGAATAACTCAGAGTGAATTTGATCGTCAAGCAGAGATTACCAGACTTCTGCTGGAGGGAATCAGCAGTACACATGTGAGTGTTTATTCATTGGAGATTCATTTGGAACAAAGACTTTGATAGTCCTAAGGCAATTTTGGGAGGAAAAACTGAACTTCCTTTTCAGTCATTTATCAAGGAAATTTAAACTGTGGCACTTTGCAAGATATATGAAGAAATATTTTAAGTTTTTGCTTATACCTCATCACCTAGTTCTCCCACCGTCATCAAATCCAGTTGTTGATTTTTGTTGACTGAACATTTTGTTACTATACTGCTGACGAAGGTCAATCTTAATAAGCCTTGTAGTAAAATACTAGGTACTGCCAATTCTCCCTGAGTACAGTGTTGTGCTCTGTCTCCCTTCAGCATTTGCCACTTGAAGTAGATTATAGAGCTAAGTGACTATAACTTTCCTTTACAGGCCCATCACCTCCGCTGTCTGAATGACTTTGTAGAAGCCCAGATGACTTACTATGCACAGTGTTACCAGTACATGTTAGACCTCCAGAAACAGCTGGGAAGGTGGTAATTTTCTTTTCACACTTGAAACTCCTGATAAGAGAAGAAACTCAGATTTTTGCATATGAACTAAGAATTAGAGGTGAAGATTAGAAGATTTAAAGGCTTTTTTAGCCTGCTTAAAATCAGATTTTTTTTTCAAGGAAAATAATCAGACTTCTGAGGTAACAAACGTTTTGAGCTCTTCTGGCACAGAAGACTGTTAACAGGAATAAGAAGATAATTTAAGTGAATACCTTTTTAGTACTATATAAATAAAGTTTAAAAGTGAAGTTCAGTTTTCTCTTGAATATCTTTGCAGTTGGTTGAGGAAGATGTAGTTACATTAACACTTAGTTGCCCATAGAGATAAACTAATTGATATTTATTCATTACTCCCTTGTTAACTATTTTAAAAAAAGATTTTAGAATATTCTATAAGATCTCAAGCCCATTGATGTTATTATTTTGAGTGCAGTAATATACTTGAAAGCAAAATGATAGCATGTAAAGCACAAAGCTCAATCATTCATTCATCAAATATTTATTGAACACTTGCCAAATGTCAAGTACTCCTCTACTCTGGGATTACAGCAGTGAACAGACTAGGCAAAAATGCTTACCCGTATGGAGCTCACATTGTAAGAAATAAAATGATGCACAGGACAAACCTATTCTCTTTTCCCACTACACTTAAAGTCTAGGTAGAAATACAGGCCATAGGTGAACAGGCCATGTGATGAGTGGAAAGGTAGAATAGTGCAGGTTACTGTGAGGGACATCTAACTATGACTCAAGTGGGGCTAGCATAGTTTCATAGATGAAATTATTTTAGTAGGAATAATCTAGATGAAAGGGGCAGAGACGAATATTCTAGGCAGAGGAATATCATGTATATGAAAGGTCCAGAGGAAAGAGAGAGTGTGGTAGTTTCAGGGAACTGACAGTAGTTCATTCTGGTTGGAACATAGTGTTCAAGTTAAGAGTGGGATGGTAGATGAGGCTAGAAGAGTGAAGCAGGGTCATGTCATGAATACCCTTTAAAGTAAATAATAGTAAGGAGTTTGGGATTTATATAGTGAGGAACCATTTTAAAGCAGGGGAGTGATATGTGACATTTGAAGGAGGAATATCAAGAGAAGTTATTTCAAGGAATAAGGTAAAAAAAAAAAAAGTCACTCTGGTGTTCCTTTCTGCATATTAATCCTTCCGAACTAGACCTAGAACAAAATTAGACATATCCACAAAACCAATTTTAGACCTTAAAAATTAGATGTGGCCTAATACCATTGGTTATCCTAATAGGATTTACAGAAGGATTTACACTTCCATATATTTGATGTTTTGTTAGTGATATTAGTATCTGAAAGCAGATCCCTACATGATTACAACCATTTTAAGCACAGGAAGCCTTAGTACTTCCTTTTCACTTTGTCTGACACTCTGGGAGTGCAGCAGGGGGGCTGCTGTTACCATTCATATTTGCATTCTGCTTAAAGCCACACAAATGCTTGGAACTCAGCCATTCAAACACAGTCTACTTATTGCTGCGGTTTAGAATAAGCTCAGACATTACAAAGTGAACCAGTGCTATTATTTTAGGAAAGAGGGTCTAGCTTGTCTCTCTGCCCTCAAAGAATTATATTACTGGTAAGGACCAATGATAGAGAGTAGGGGAAATTTTAGGCCTTTAATTTGTTGCAGGTTATGCTTTTCAAGACAGTATATAGAAATATTCAAATACAGAACTTGAAAAATCATTCAGGTCCACACTAACAAATTCAAAGCTATTTCTAAAGAGTAGAACCAGGTGGTAATGTTAATGCTTGTAATAGCAGTGTTGGCAGTAGTAGTAACTAACTCATAGCAATCACTTAGGGCCCCCAGCCACTCTTCTAGACAGACGCCTCATATGTAATAATGTTATAATCCTCACACCAAGTGAGTTAGGTACTATTATTATCCACATTTTACAGGAATAGAAGCACTAGTCACAGGGTTAGTAAATGTATTTTATTTTATTTTATTTTATTTTTTTGTGAAGATGATCAGCCCTGAGCTAACATGCATGCCAATCCTACTCTTTTTTTTTCTGCTGAGGAAGACTGGCCCTGGGCTAACATCTGTGCCCATCTTCCTCCACTTTATATGGGACGCAGCCACAGCATGACCTGACAAGCAGTGCATCAGTGCCTGCCCAGGATCCGAACCCGGGCTGCCAAGCAGCAGAGCACACGCACTTAACTGCTACGCCACGGAGCCAGCCCCAAAATGTATTTTATTTTTAAATAATTGGAAGGTTTTAACATATCAAGCTATGGTAGCAAGAAGTCTACAGTTTTTATCTTCAAAAATGTATATATTTAATCACTGCTGAGGAGCTGTGTTCACTGAGGAGGGTATGCTAGGGAACGTGCTCTTAACCTTAGAGTGAAACCTGCATTAGGAATAAGTACTTTTTATCATTAGAATCCTTTTTATTTATCAGAGAAACATTTACTTTTAATTTTTAAAAATGCACTATTCTAGGCACATGGAATACAATGTAAACAAAACAGACCAAATCCCTGCCTTCATGGAACCTACATTCTGTTAGGGGGTGGTGGGGAGTAGAAAATCAATATGTATGTAAATCATATATTAGAAAGTGATCAATGCTGTGGAGAAAAATACAGCAGGGAAGTTTAGGGTAGAGGTTTGCAGTAGTCAGGGAAGACAGAGACTTGAAAGATGTGAGAAAGTGAAGCATGCAGGCATCTGAGAGAAGATGCCCCAGGAGAGGGTACAGCAAGTACAAAAACCCTGAAGCAAGAACATAGCTGTTATGTTCAAGCTACAGCAAGGAGGGCTTGGCTAGAGGTGAATCAAGGAAACAGGGAGCTGGAACATGTAGGACTTTGGAAGCCACTGTTCAGACTTGGGCCTTTACTCAGAGATGAAGAGCCTTTGGAGGGTTTTGAGCTAAGGAGTGATGTGATTTGATTTTAGGCTTTAACAGGATCATTCTTGCTGCTCTGTTGAGGATAGATGTTAGAGGGCATGGGTGGAAGCTGACAGACCTATTTGGAACCTATTGCAAAATTTAGTCAATCCAGTCAGGGGAGGGTGGTAAGTTGGATCAGGGGGATTGCAGTAGGTGTGGTTGGAGTGGTCAAACCCTGGGTATATATATATACTTTTTTTGTGTGAGGAAGATCAGCCCTGAGCTAACATCCATGCTAATCCTCCTCTTTTTGCTGAAGAAGACTGGCTCTGAGCTAACATCTATTGCCAATCCTCCTCCATTTTTTTTTTTCCCCCAAAGCCCCAATAGATAGTTGTATGTCATAGCCGCACATCCTTCTAGTTGCTGTATGTGGGACACGGCCTCAGCATGGCCGGAGAAGCGGTGCGTTGGTGCACGCCCAGGATCCGAACCCCGGGCCGCCAATAGCGGAGCGCACGCACTTAACCACTAAGCCACGGGGCCGGGTATATTTTAAAGGTAGAGCAAGCAGGATTTGCTGACAGACTTTCTGTATATGAGGCTTAGAGGAGTCAAGAATTACTACAAGTTTTTGGCCTGAGCAACTGAAAGAATAGAGTGGCATTAATTAAAATGGGGAATGCCACAGGAGGAAGAGGTTGGGGTGGGGAGGGCATGTCAGGTATATCAGAAGCCCAGTTTTAGACATATTAAATTTGAGATGTCAATTAAACATCTAAGCGGACATATCCAATTTTAGGATATGCAAATCTGGAGTTTGGAAGATGAATTAGAGATAGAAATTAGAGAGTCATCAGCATATCAAGATGAAATCACCAAGGGAGTAAGTATAGGTAGAGAAAACAAGGGAAGTAAATGCTGAGCCCTGAAGCACTTCAACATGGAGAGCTGAGAAACCAGCTAAGGAGGATGGTAAAGAGTGACCAGTGAGGTAAGATGCAAACTAAGTGTGTGGCCTGGAAGTCAAGTGAAGATGATGTAGGAAGGTGGAGGGGAGTGATCCACTGTGCCCACTAGATAGGTTAAGTGAAATGAGAACTGTTAATGGACCACTGGATTTAGAACATTGAAGTCATTGCTAACCCAACAAGAGTAGTTTTGATGGAACAGTAGGGGCAGAAGTTTGTTTGTAATGTAAGAGAATGGAAGGAGAGGAATTGCGATGGTAAGTTTAGTTAAGTGTTTCAACGAGTTCTAGTTTAAAGAGGAGCAGAGAAATGAAGCACAGTAGCCAGAGGAGAAAATGGGGTCTAGTAGATTTGTGTTTGTTTTTTGAGATAGGAGAAATAAGAGCATGTTTGTAAGCTGATGAGAATGGTACAGTAAATGGAGAAAATATGATAACGTGGGAAAGAAAGGGAAAAATTTCTAGTGTGATATTCTTGAGAGGTGAAAGGGGATGATATTTTGTGCACATGTGGAGAAATTAGCCTTAGGAGCATAGACAGCTCATCTGTAGTAAGAAGAGAGATGACCAAAAGTAGGGAAGTTTGCCAGTTGTTCTTTTTTCCTCTCAGTTAAAGAGGAAGCGACTTATCAGCTGAGTATGAGTGTTAGAGAGGAATTGCTACAATTCTGAGCATTGATGAAAGAGTTTAAAAACAGTCATCAGGAGAATGAAAAGTGAATGGACTAGAGAAATGTAGTGTAATTGCCAGGCAGCATTGTGGACCCATTTGAAGTTCCTACTCATAAATTGAATATAAGGCCAAACAACATGTTTTTTTTATTTTTCTCCTGTCACAGTAGATACATGGATACTGAGTAGGTAAATAGGGAGATTTTTACCAGATGAATACAATGAAGTGAGAGGCATAGGAGATAAAGGCATATGCAAGGGGGTGATTATAATAACCATGGACATGAAGGGAGTGTTGGTAGGATCATAAAGGGTAGGTCTGTGGTAGGACCATAGGTCCAAGATAGGGTTGTTGAAGTGACAGTACTAGAAAAAAAAAAAAGATGATGGTCAGAGAATGGGATGTTGGAAATTATGATTATTAGAAGGGTTATCATTATTGAAATTGATAAGGTCTAGCTGAGACAGAATGGGTGGTTGAACTAGGGCCCACAGAATCGCTAGAAGAGTTCATGGATCTGAGAGGCCAAAGTGTTGGAAAAATTGTCTATATAGATATTAAAATCACCAAGAATTAAGATATAGTGTCAGTAAGCCAGGAGCTAAAATCTTCTAGAAATGAAGAGAATGGAACAAGGCATCTGTAGATGATTGCAGCAAGACAGTGGGTATTATACAGTCAAACATCTTGAAATGCAAAGATTGGGTAGGATGGGTTAGAGAGAAGAGTCTAGAAATGGTAATGAGGAACATAAAACTTCTACTCCATCCACCTGTAGGCTTAATGATAAAAGGAGTGTGGGAGATAAAAAACACAAGCATTAAGGGAGTGAAGGGGAGATTTAGAGAAGAGGTTAAGGATAAAGGGAATTTTGCTGCTGGCTGTGATTTCCAAGTGGCACAATAGTCATAAAGAGAAGAAGGAAATTGTATTTTTTGTAGAGATGAATTTCACCCACCCTACTAGATGGGGCCTTAACTAATGGATTTATTAAAATTTAAATATGACTTTTCATAGATAGTTTTCAACCTTAGAAATGGTTGGATTAGAATGATGATAGGCCAGCCGTTTTATACTGTTTTCCACTTAGTAGTAGTATTAGAGAAACAGTAGCCTTACAATAAGTTTAAAATTCTAGTTATCTTTAAATTATTTATAAATTATATTTATTATTTAATTATTATTCACTGATTTCTAAGAAAAGTTTTGTTGTTTTTCCCTAAAAAATAGACAAAATAAACTTGTGAAATCTGTCCTATTCTCCCATTGAAGTCTACATTATGATAATTATAGTCATAACATATTATTTGAATGTCCATCTCTTCACTTGTCTATATGTCATAAAGGAATCTCATCTTTGTGTCTTCAGCTTGTGGTAGTGATGCCAGACATGTAGATACTCAATAAATATTTGTCATTTGACTGAATAGGAAAATGGGATTAGATTAGTTTTATAAAAAAGAGCTCAGTTATTCAAATATTTCTTAAAGAATTAACTTGAGAAAGCTTCACTCTTATGGTGTATCTAATATTTCAGTAGTTTTTCATTGACATTTTTATTTAACAATTAATAAAGGGAGGAAAAGATTAATAAAATATAGTAATAGGAGTTTTGTGTGTTTTAAGGATAAACTCATTTTTTCTGGAAAAAAGAAGAGCCATTGTGTTTTTTACAAACTTTTTATAATTGTAACAACAGCTTTGAAACAAACTTTCAAGGATTTATATTGGAAAGCCACCAGAATTTTCTCTAGTATAATTGGCCCAAGAGAGAGAAGCTAGACAGCACACTTTTTCATTAAAATATTAACATCTGTAAGTCTTTATCCAAAGTGGAGGTTGGTAGAAAGTAAACAGTGCCACCAAGTGGTGATATTCAGGAGCTTTGGTCACTTGGAAATAAATAATTGGCTGTTTTCTTTTCAACAGTTTTCCATCCAGTTATCACTGTAACAACAATCAGACTCCTGTGGCACCTATACCATCTGCTTCATCAAATGTGATTGGTTCTTCTGCCTTGACTTCCACAAGTGGCCTAGTAATCGCCTCTCCTTCCAACCTCATTGACCTTAAGGAGTGCAGTGGCAGCAGGAAGGCCAGGGTGCTGTATGATTATGATGCTGCAAACAGTAGTGAATTATCACTTCTGGCAGATGAGGTGAGTAACGTGGGTATAAGAAGAAAACTATGTCATGGATTGACATACCTTCTAGTATTATAACAAGATGCAAAATTCCTCATTACTTATTTGGAAATAGTTTGTCATGAAAGCTTTCATAGATTTCAAATTGTTATATTAACATTTTATAAAATTTTGACTACTATTCTTTAACAAAATAGTATATCACAGAAATATTTAAAACTTTTAACTGCTAAATAACTGGAAGATTTCTAAAACTACCTCTAATAAAATTCTTTATCTTTCAACAAAATTGATAATAATGTTTAAAGTCTTTTGATAGTGAATAGTTTAAACAAATTAAATACAAATCTGATTAGTTTTCTATGTTTATTTTTTAATAACTGGAAATATTTTATTTTGTAGGTGATCACTGTGTTCAGTGTCGTTGGAATGGATTCAGACTGGCTTATGGGGGAAAGGGGAAATCAGAAGGGCAGGGTGCCAATTACCTACTTAGAACTGCTCAATTAAATAGGTGGACTATGGAAAGATTACCCAACATGATACCATATTTATATACAATTAACTCTAAATAAAGCAGGTTTAAGTATCTTCCATGTTAATGTCTTAAGAGACTGAGAAGAAAATACCAGCCTTCAGAAACTGGCCTTTCTGCCAATAAAGTTGCATGGTAAATATTTCATTACAAAATTTATGTTAGAGCTTTCATGCCAAGAATGTTTTCTTATAAAATTCTCTTTCTACTGAGGTTTCACTAATAAGCAGCTTCTACTTTTGAGCCCCAACTTAAAGCAGAAGAACTGTTTTCTACTGAATTTTTCATTAATGGCAAGCTTTTTCTTTTATGTAAAATAAATTTATTGTGACTTGATGTCAGTGACTCATTTATTAGGTATAATTAATAGCCAAAGAATAAAATTAAAATTTGTTTTAAACTTTTGGTTTAAAAAGAGCTCTAGGATATAAATCTCTTTTGTGAAGAATATAATGCTTCCAAATGTTTCCATAAACAGAAATGCAATTATACCATGTTTACCTTGTTTTCCAACAGAAATTGAATGATTTCAGTACAGTCATGCATTGCTTAATGACAGGGATACGTCCTGAAAAACGCGTCGTTAGGCAGTTTCATCATGCGAACGTCAGTGTGTGCTTATACAAACCTAGATGGTGTGGCTGCAACACGCGTAGGCTATATGGTACTAATCTCTTGGGACCACTGTGGTATACGCGGTCCATCATTGACCGAAATGTCATTATGTGGTGCATGATTGTACTATATTTTGATGGGTTATTTTTTGGGTTTTTTGTTTTATTAAACACTACTGAATGCTTTCTTTTAAATTTAGGAACACCTAGTCCTTGAAAAGCATTACCATATTTTTCTGGTACATTTACAGTTAAGGTTCTAAAACATCTGGGACAAGTTCAACTAAACAGTGTTTTTAAGATTGTTCAGTTGGCATAATTTAATGCATAATCAGAATTGGGTCTATTAAGAACATACTGCAGTACAGTAAGGAGAATTTGTTCTTATTGAACAAGAAATTCTTATAAAAGTATAGATTAGTTCAACTAACTACATTCATCATAGAGTAAATTTAAAGAAACAATAAACTTTTGGTTACTCTGAGCCTACTAATAAAATTTTGAAAATTTATTAATGAATTTAGATTATCTTGATCAGGGTCTCTAGCTATGAAACACACTAATGAAATGATTAGTGACACACTTGAGTCAGATAATTGCTATTTGGACCATTGCTATGAATCAGCTAATTATTTCCATGTTAGGACTAATGCTCTCATTTTCATTCATTCATCAAACATTTGTTGAGGGCCAGGCACTATGCTGATCAACCGGGGATACTACCCTGAACAAGATGCACAAAGTCCTTCCCCGTGCAGACCTTACAGACCAGTGGAGGATACAGAAAAATAAATAAGCAATTGTCATGTAAGAGAGTCAGTGTCATGATAGAAAAAATATAGGGTACTGTGTTTGGGAGCTTTGGGAGTCACCTAACTCAGATCTGGGGAGCAGGAGATGGCTTGGAGAGGAAGTGCTCCAGGCAGAGAGAAAAAAATGTGCCAGGCTTGGAGAGTGTGGCACATTCTGACAACTAAAAGTAGTTCAGTCTGGCTTAAGCATGAAGTACAAAGATGTAGTTCACTTCTTCAGGGAATGTTAATGTATCAAAATGATATTAGTACTTTAAAAAATGATGAATATTCAGGGCCGGCCCCGTGGTTTAGCAGTTAAGTGCACACGCTCTGCTACTGGCAGCCCAGGTTCAGATCCTGGGCACGCACCAACGCACCGCTTCTCCAGCCATCCTGAGGCCACGTCCCACATACAGCAACTAGAAGGATGTGCAGCTATGACATACAACTATCTACTGGGGCTTTGGGGGGAAAAAACAAAAGGAGGAGGATTGGCAATAGATGTTAGCTCAGAGCCAGTCTTCCTCAGCAAAAAGAGGAGGATTAGCACGGATGTTAGCTCCGGGCTGATCTTCCTCACACACACAAAAAAGTGATGAATACTTAAACACCATTTTAAAATATCCTTTTGTGTCAAGAGCTCCTAATCAGAGCTTAGTAAACATTGATAATTTAGTTCCCAGTCCAAATTTTAACAGTAGTCGTTACCCTTTTATTTCTGTGCTATGAGAGAAATTCCTCTGCAATTTTATGATTGTACAAGAATTGCCATACTCCAAAAGCCGCTCAAGCTGATGAGTTAGCTGTAGAACCAAGTGAGTGAAGCTTTTTTTCCCCCAGAAAGGAAGTTCTACAGCCAGGCTAGAGTACCATGTATTATGTATAAGTCCAGATTTGGGCTTTAAAAGAGCATACAAAAAATTCAGGTTGTTAAACAGCAACTGTAAATTAGGTTTATGGGAAGTAGAATAGTAAAGGGGAAAGAGTGGGGGTAATAGAGTGAACTGGTCCTGGGTTCAAGTCCAGGCTTCCTCACATACTGTGCTTTTTGCACTTCAACTCAGATGTTATGTAAACTGCCGTTTCCTTTTTAGTAAAATGGAGATAATAATTATGCCGCCTTAGGTTTATTGTGAGGATTACATAGCAAATGTTATCTTGTATTTAGGTAGTTTTTAGGGAAAGTCTTGGCACATAGTAGAAATGTTCTGTAAATACCAGTTTCCACTTGATAACCCCTGTAGCTTCCTGACTTACCCAGTCTGTAGGCCTTGTTTATGACTCTGTACCAGAGATTCCTCTTTTGTATCCATGCTTCATTCTACTCCTTCTCAATCCTATCCTCCACCCTCTTTAAATCAGACCCAGATCGAGGTTTAACCTCACCAGAGTCAGTGTCAATTTTTATCAGAACTTTCTGCTTTTCATCAAATGAATGTTGATTATAGTAACCAAGTAATGTACAGAAGCCTTCAATAATGTTAAGGTTCAAAGGCTTCTTGTGCCTTTGTCTACCACAGATCCACCACAATATGTGGGCTTGTTCTTGTGTTTATTGCTTTTTACTTTAATGGGGTTTTGTTTGATTCCTTGGTTGTGGTGGGGTTTTTTTGTTTATTTTATTTTGGTTTGGGCTTATTTTATAAAGTCATACGTTTAATTTTTACTCAGGTAAAGGCCCATAAAGCTTCTTAGGCATGGAAGAAAAGCTTGAGAAGCCTACTAATTTGTGGTGCAATTCAGAGTTATTTAAATGAGCCCTATGCTCATGAGCTTCATCTAAAGGTGTAGTAACATGTGAAGAATGCACATATGAATGAAATAATACACTTGGAAATAATTGTAGGTTCTTACAGAAAAAAGTGATTAGATTTTATCTGCATTTGTCCTCAAAGTAATCTAACCTAAAAGGTCATAGTGTTAAATCTTTTTTATGGTGCTAATCAGAAAAATTCATACTGTAGGAGATTAAGTCCCCTGCCTCACTCTGAGTAACATGAGAAATAAGAAATCTGAGGCCAGGGTCACCAGTGGGTTAGAGTCCATCCTCGTATTCTGCTGTTATCCTCCACCAGAACAAAGGAACAGAATGTGAGTGGAGGAGCTGGTATGGGGAGGACATTTGTGAGATAAACTGTGGGGAAGATGATGGAATGCAGGACAAAAAGCAACAGCTTTGTTTACCCGGAGAGGCCCCCCCAGCTTAACCTCCATGCTTCGCTGACAAGATTCCTCAAAAATCTCTACCTCCCAAATGTCTGAAATTTTGAAATATGTTGCCCTAGTATGTAGCATTTCAAGCCTGCGTGAGGAGCCATAATAGATAAGATGGCTTTGCAATTTGACCTACAGCCAACTTTGCCTCAACGCGTTCTCCAGATGATTAAGTGGCTCTTACCTCATGATGAGACTCTAAAGGGGAGGAGGGAGTTCCACGAGCACACCTGCCCTTTCTCCCACGTTATCCTAATTAGAAAGTCTACTCAGAGGGCAGTGGTTCTCAGTGTGAAACCTCAAGATAGGCAATATCAGCATCAGCTGGGAACTTGTTAAAAATGCTACTTCATATTTCCAAGTACTTTGTACCTTTATTTGTACTTATTTTTGGCCTTCAAGGGGTTATAAAATTGGTCTTAGTTCTTCCGTATAACATTTTTTAAAATATTTTAAGACAAAAACTGTCTTCTGATTTTCTTTAATGTGTTCTAGCACTAATCATAATTATGTAATTTTATGTAACTTTTACAATTTTTTATTTTATAATTTATTTGTTTTGTTTAGTATATAACTGTCACTCTAGAATGTGGGCTCCTTGAGGGAGAGACTGTAATTCTTTTGATCACATTTAAATTCCCAACTCTCAACACAAGACCCAGCACATAGCATATACTCAATAAAATAAATATTTGTCAAATGAAAGAAAAAAGTGCTATTCCTAAGCCTTACTGAAGGCCTACTGAATCAAACTCTGGGGTTGGGCCCAGCAATCTGTTTTTACAAGCCATTTGGGTGATTCTGTTGTGTCAAGTTTGAGAATCACTTAAGTAGAACAAAGAAAATTTGCCGTACACCTTTAGGCTTACTATCTGACATCACTTGAGAAATTCTTCCTGCCTTCTGTACGGTCAAGAACAACACTGGTCTCCTAAGTTGGGCTTACTGAGCTGTATTACAAGTGGGTGTGAAGGTAGAAGGATATAGTGAGTGTAAGTAAGGGAAATATTGCTTGGAGTGCCAGTACTTGGCTGCTGTGGAGAGTCCCTTAGTCTGAGGAAGGGTAAGGACTACCACCACCCATGTTTTCGCTCAGCACAGGGACAGTTTGACATCAAAGCGCCCTGACAAACCTTTAAAGTGGTATCAGACTAACGTGTACATCCCTGTGCATCAGGTTGCTAAGCTCCATCTCATTCCTACTTCAAAGGAGACTTTTTAAGAATTTCTAATGCTTCTTTTACAATATCGGTCATAGATGTGTTGGTAAAAAGGAAAAAAAAAAGTGAAAATATAGCTTACAAGATAAAAATCACCTATAATCCCACCTTCCAGGAGACATACTGTTATTTAGGTATATACCCTTCCAGACTCTTCTGTGCATTTATAGATTTTTTTTTAATGGGATCAAGTTGTGCATACTTTTTTTCACTTGACTATACGATGATTATCCCGCTGTGTCAAATATATTTCTACATCTTTTTTTAATGGCTGCATGGTATTTCATCATATGTGCCACACTTTATTAAACTACCGTTGATTTTTAGGTTGTTTTCAATTTTTCACTAATAAACTGCTTTGAGGAACATTGTGTTGCTGAATCTTTTATGCATTCTTAATATTTCCTTAAGATGCATACTTGGAAGTGGAATGGCTAGTGGAGAGAGTATGCCAGTTTTTAAAAGCTTTTGTTACTGCCGCTTTCCCCATAGAA